CAGCCGCCATTAGCTTTGTTTACCGCGCCTCGTTTCACAATCAGCTGGTGACCTGGATACGCGAAAAGAGGCCTCGTTTCCAGTCTCTATTTTTAGTGTCTCTGGTCTGATCAGAGACTACTCTCTGGACTGATCAAGCAAAAAGACGAATTCTTTATATCACGCGCTGCACTGAAGTGTACAGGTAACATGACCCAAACAAAAGTCACATGATCTTGTGGTCTCGAGGCCCCAATGCCCCAGGAGCAAAGATTCTGCCAAGAGCAGCATAGTCTATCCTCTGGTTATGTAAGCTGTAAACATAATTGTGTGACATAAAAGCCAAGTAACGAGCCTGAATTTTTCGTTATCAGCCAAAAGACAAAGAAATTCCATACAATGGCGTCTGCTGCCGGTCTACTCTTCGTGTTGTGTTCTTTTGTGGCGTTGTTTGTGGTGGAGGTGGAGTGTTGGCGACCAGGAAAACCTATCTCACCGATAAGACAAGGTGTCAAGGCGCCCTTGCCTTCCGGATACTCGTACCAAACGTTGTATTATGATCAGCAGGTGTGTTATAACTTTTAATTTTGTATTTTTACATTTTAAATTCTAAAGAAAAAGCCCCATATTTGATATGGGAAGAATAAGTTCCGCCGAGAGTCGAGAGCTGGCACTTACCTTGACAAGGTCCACTGAGCAAACTATACGGGAGTTAGGGTTTACGGATCCGTAGGGTTTAAGGTTAGGCCCGTTAAGGTTATGGTTAGGGTTAGGTGTTGTTGCTTGGCTGGCCTTCTGCGGAACTCCTTCCGATATGGCTGCCCTTACCTGGGAGACCTTTCCCACCCAATGCGAATGGAACGTTTGGCCAGTTTGGGGAAAAGAAACACATCATCGAGTTCACACCTCCGCACGATTCTGTCTCTGGCAAACATTATACTTTCTCATGGAGATTTACAACAAAGATGTGACGACATTCACAATGGATGATTTGTGGTGCAAGCTTTCGTTTCTTGATTGATCAGCTGCACTCTTCAACAATTTTGTTCCACAATTATTATGATTTAAAATGTGGAAAATCTTAGCTGAATGTAGCCCTGCAGAGTGGGATTATAGGGATGACTTAAGTGTTGTAAAAATTTTGTTCTCTTAAAACAGAGGGATTATAAGGGGTGGGCTCTTCAGCAGAGATTACTGTGTAATGAGGGGAAAAAGGGGAATTGATAGGGGGGGGGGGGTTGTTGAAGAATTTCAGTGTTGATGCTGAAGTGTTTCCTAACTTAGCTTTGTCTTATGCACTGCAACCAAGAAGTTCCTTACCAACTGATTAAACAGCATTTGAACATCCATTTTTACTTTGGTCATATAATTCTAGTCTGAGCTGCTTTCCATACTTTGCCATACATTATTGTCGTGGTTTATGCTTTCCATAGAAAATGTCATTGTATGCTTTTATAGCTCTTTGTTTTCATTATTTTTTTCAGATCGACCACTTTGGATTTGCAAATGAGAAAACCTTCAAACAGAAATATCTGTTTGCTGATCAGTTCTGGAACAAGAAGGGACCCATTTTTTTCTACACAGGAAATGAAGGAACAATCGAATGGTTCTGTAATAACACAGTGAGTAGATAAATAATCTTTGAAGGTCTATATTTTTCCTTTTCTTGCGTAAATTTGAGGATTGCTTTAAAGTGAGAGCTAAAGTTTTCAGTTTTTAAAACTTGATTGTCGCGGTTGATCATGTATGGACCTTTGATTTGCATTGTTCTGCTGCTAAGATATCTTTGCTTTGTCTCTAGCTTAATCTTGACTCAAACTTCTTTCCATATTTTTCCTCAGGGCTTTTTGTGGGACATTGCTCCTCAGTTCAATGCTTTGCTTGTCTTTGCTGAGCACAGGTATTATGGGGATTCCCTACCATTTGGGAAAGAATCCTACCAGGTATGTTTCTAGGGTCAGTGTAATAGTAATGTTGGAAAACCATGTTCTGTTACCGTTGAAGTTATTGTGCCATAACCCCCATTGTTTTGAAACCATGAAAAGTCTCTCATTTTTAGCAGAGATGAGTTTCATTCAAGAAATGCCAGACTTTTTTTTGAAAGTGCAGAAAATTATTGTGTGATTTGATATGCTTCTCAGGGTTCATTATGAATTTGATTTGATACCAATGAAACAAATAAATGGGCACTGCTCACATCTTTGCCAATATGTTTTTGTTACTTCCAGAATTCCTCCACGTTGAACTTTTTAACCTCTGAGCAAGCCTTGGCAGATTTTGCCACTCTGATCAGGTACCTAAAGGCGACTGTTCCTCATGCCGCAGACAAGCCCGTTGTTGCCTTTGGAGGATCCTATGGAGGGATGCTGGCGGCCTGGTTTCGTATCAAGTACCCCAATGTTGTTGTCGGGTGAGTGAGAGTGAACCTTGTCTGAATCGATCCTTTCCTGCAATGTATCATAAATTAGGCTATAGTAAGGTGAAAGTTCAAACTTCAGGCAATTTCTCAGTTGTCTATAGGATTTGGAGGTAAAAAGCAACAGGCAGTTTTTATTTGAGAAAAAAATTCTGATCGTAGCTGGCTATAATTATTATTTTGATGCAGTGCTGTATAGAACATTAATGCTTGAAAGAGGTTTTTTCCTCTGATGAAGTTCGTAAGTTATGCTCATTACTCTCTTGGAGTCCTCTATTCTGGGGAGTTTTTATTCTTTTCATACGAAATGAGATGCCTTTCTATAGGGTAAAAAATGCAACGATAGCCTTCTTACACAATGCACACTTGTGAGATACCCTTTAAATCACTCCCTCTATCTCTCTGCACCCAACTTAGGTCTTATGAGATATATGGGGGTTAGATTATAATTATTTATCTTAAAACAACTTGTACTGGCTCTTTCTCTTTATTCTTTTTTTTTCTGTTGAAAAGGGTATAATTCAATATTAGTTGCATAACATCAAGTGTTTAAAGCTTGTCTGGGATACTCTTGCCTTTTCAATGTTCCCTAGAAATATTAAGTTTTTAACTTAAAGCTTTTAACACTTTCCCTACCACGAGCCGCATTTGGCTCACGGATGTGGCCTCGCTAGACCGAGAGCCGCAAAATACGGCTCGAGTGGCTCGCTATCTATTCCAATCCAGTAATGAAAAGACAAGAAATTCTCAGCCGATCCACGTTTTCAAAATAATAGAATAGACTTCTTGTTAGCAGATACGAAAGAAAATATAGCACTGAGAGACGATTTTGAGTAATTTCAGGGCTTTTTTTTTTATCCCCTTCGAAACGTAAAAAAAGCGCTCCCCTGACTTCAGTATATGTCTCATATTTTCACTTCTATAGGTGCACATACATAACTTTCAGCATTTCTGTGCATTACTCGAGGCAACCTACCTGGGAAGTTTGAATGATGCTATTTTAGATATGACCTTTCAAAGCTGGAAAATTGTTGATTTCATATTACACCTTCGATGTTGCATAATCACTTTTAGAAACCCCAAACTAATATAATTGGAATAAATCATCAATGTTGTATCACCATCTGATAGATTATTTTTTAACCTTCTGTTTGATGGGCCATATGATATGGTTTGTGTGTGTTTAGTTGGATGTTTTGACATTTTCCTTTGGTGGGGTAGGGGAGTAAAAGTAGGTCAGGGAAAAGCCCTAGGCCAGTGGTGGATTTTGGCCTGGTAGGAAAAGAGTTAAGAGCACACAAGGTCAATAAAATTCAATATCACATAGTGTATTGTATGGGCTTCTAATTCATTTTCCAGGGCTTGTTTTTCTTTTCGTTAATGTTGACTCTGTGTTTGACTAAATGGGAACTGCAACCATGAAATTTTTTGGGAGGAATTTTTATGAATCCAGAAAATGCTACATTAATATATATATATTTTTTTTTAGGTCATAATCTTCTTTCTTATTTCATCATCATACAATGAGTAAGGCACTTGTATGATGGTACAGAGATTGAAAAAGATTTCTCAAACATAACTGACATCGGATGCTTTCAGATTGTCACTAACCTATCTTAAGTTTTATCAAAATGTGCTGGTATATCTCAGACACTGATGTAATGTTGAAATATTAAAAAAAATTCTTATCAGGCATTTTATTTTAAAAGTGTTGGATATATTGCACTGTCTAAATTTATGTACTTTGTATAAAGTGACTTTTGGTCTCAAGTAAGTGTAAAAATGAAATAATTTTGAAAGACTAATCTACTTTTTGATGAATGCTTCAATTTGATTGCTGATTTTTATAGATAACTGGTAAAAAGATAATTTAGAATATGTTGTAGTCTACATTCATGTTCTTTGTTTTTTAAATTGAATTTTTTGTATTAAATAAGTGTAAAAGCTTAATAATTTTGAAAGACTGATATAATTTTTTGATAAATGCTTCAATTTGATAGATGAATTTTAAAGATCTATCACTGATTAAAAAAAAAAGAATGTACAAATTCAATTCTTAGTGCCAACAAAGTATATGCCATCCTGGTGTTCAGAATTGCTTGTGTGTCAGTGTCTTGTTTAGCTGTGTACCTCTAAAAGTCTTTGTTTGACCCCAGCACTGTGTGAATGTGTACCTTAATCTTTCACTGGTCCCCACGTTCCATTTCCCTCCTCCCTATTTGGCACTTCCCATCCCCCTTTTCCTGCTGCGGTGGTCTATGACATAGGTCTCTAGCTGCATCAGCCCCCATCTGGGAGTTTACCGGGATGATCCCATGCAGCTCATTCTATGACACGACATCTCAGACGTGGTATGATGCATCCAAGACATGTGGAGACAATCTACATCGCTCGTATGAAACAATCAAGCAGGTTGCCGCGGAAGGTGAGATGGTTTTCAGAGTTATAATTGATGTTGTACCTCATCCTCCTGATTCTGATGGCTGAGAGCTACTATTGAGTGGTGAAGAGTGTCTTTCATACAAAATAGTTATAAAAATGAGGAGGGAGGAGGGGGGGAGCGGTGTCATTGTGTTTATTATTGGTAATTTGTTGAGCTTAGATTTGTTCTGTGTAAAATAGACCTTCCTACAATTTGTATAATAGGACTTAAAATTCAGTTGAAGTAAAAGAGGCACATCAGAATATTAAGCCTCCTGTTTCTCTGTACAGTATAAACAAGAGAATGTTTGGCCCGTTCATGATACTAAAGTTCTTTGGGAATGCTCATTGCCCTCATGTTTTGAGCTTTCATGCAGAAGTCATAATTTTTTAGAGACATGAAAAACAGAGTTTGATTTATAAAATGCTTTCCTCTATTAGTTTCCAAATGAGTCATTTATTATTGGTGTTTGTGCCCCCACACCAACTGCACTAGGGCATTGTAAGTGATTAAAAATTTGTTAGTGCCCGTGGCATGCCCTGAATTTTCTGTGCACTTTTTTTTTCATTAGAAGTGTTCCCTTTGTTTTATTTTATGTGTTGATAAGACTGAGATGTGTTACATAGCTCTCTCCTCTTGGTCTTAAGTGGAAATAAAGTGTTTACCTGGGGATGATGTGTATGGCCAGTTTTAAAAAAAATGCAAACTGTTGATTTCTAAACAAACGAATTTTATACTATTGCTCAATTGCTTTACACCAAAGTTAACAAAGTAGAATATTCTGATGTACATTTATGTGTTAATTTCACAGGTAGCAAAAGAAACCCCCCCCCCAAAAAAACAGGTTCCAAGGCAAAACCTTTTTTTATTTTTGTTTTTTAAACTTTTCTCTAGTACTTTCCATATTTCTCTCTGTAATAATGTTCTCAATGTGAGGTATTGTTTCTTCCTGGCCAAGAATGTCATGCCTCCTGTGAGTTTGTATATACAGTAAATTTTAGATAGTTATTGGAAATAACAACATATGAAGTAATGATTACGAGTACAATACTAACAACATCAAAAAGAAGACCAAAAGGGTCAAACAATCTTCAATACATTAGCATATTTGTTAAATAATTTCTCAACTGCTTTAATGACAGGTTGTGAGTAAAGAGGGATTTATTCTTCTCACATTAAGCTCATCAATGCCAGAGAGCACAACAGATTAACACTGGTTTTATGAAAAGTAACTTTTGTATCTGTGAAATGTTCCTACTTTTCATCTATCTTAGTGCTCTGGCTTCATCAGCCCCTGTTTGGGCCATTTCTAATGAGGATGGGTGTGGAGGTTTTTTTGATGTAGTTACAAATGTTTTCAACCGGACATCGCCCACATGTGCTGAGAACGTGAAGCGGGGCTGGTACACCATAGAGGCCACAGGCAGTGGCATGGGTAAGCCAGAGGGTCCACTCTGTCTCTCAGATTGTGCTGTGACCCTGCCCTTAGGTTCTTTTTGGCCTTGACTGCTGTGGAGAATGAGTTGTGCAAAATGCTTGGTCATAGTCATCTTCCCAACTCGCTTTTTTCTCTTTTTCTTTCTTTCTCTCTTTCTTTCTCTCTTTCTTTCTCTCTCTCTTTCTTTCTTTCTCTCTCTCTCTCTCTCT